TATTTATTTATTAATTTTTTCTTGGTAAACCAGATGGCCAGGTGATGAAAGTGTTAGATTTCAGACACTTGGTTTACCCCCCAAAAATTAATAATAAATAAATCTGAGCTCAGAGTGAACTTAATGGGCCAATAATACTAATAATAATCCTTGGATTTGATACAGCGCCTTATCATGTCTTTGAGACATCTCAAAGTGCTTCATAGAATATACTGTAAAGTGAATTGACTGTATATTTTGTGGGCGAAACGCGGCAGCCAATTGTGCGCAGCAGTGTCCCACAAACAATCGTGGATTGAAATGACCAATTATTTTTTTTAAGGAATTATTACCCTTGAAAAAGTGATCTATCAATATATATAATATATAATATAACAAAGCAGATGGAGTTCCGTGTTAGCTGCCACTTGCACACGGACCTTTCAGCCACAGGCCAGTTACATCCAACCTTTCATGTTGCAGGTTTTACCAAACTCTGTATTTAATCTCTTACCCAAAGACTCCTTTCTTGTGATCCTCAAACAGTTTAGAAGGTCTGTCTGAGTACACCTGAACACTACTTAGAATGCAACTCGACAGTGGAACAAGAGGAAAAGAGAAGATTGAGAGGTGACATGATTGCTGTCTTTAAGAATCTGAAGGGACTGGACAACACAGATCATGACCGGCTGTTTCAACTTGTCCAGAATAGTAGAAACAGAGGATACGGCCTGTGATTGAAGGGGGTAAATTCAGAACGAATCTAGGTAAACACTATTTCAGTGAACGAATAGTGAACCTGTGGAACAGGCTCCCGAGGGAGACGATTGAAGCAGGAAATGTTGTTTCTTTCAAACACGGATAAGATAGTTTTGTTTTAGAAAATAACATTATGGGATACAGTACAAAGGCAGTTTGGGACATATGTGCATGCGACCGCCAGGAAGGCGGAAGGCGAACTAGATGGTCCTTGGTCTTTTATCATCTAGCATTTCTTATGTTCTTTTATGTTCTTATGACTCAGGTTTAGATGTTGTAAAGGGTTATTTCAGGACAGACACCAGAAAGTGCCTTGAACTCATAGTCTAGGCTGACACTCCAGGGCACTGCTGCTCAGGTGTTCCTACAGGACTTTACAAACCTGAATGGTTTCCTATTGCACTATAAATCTTCCACAATCTGAGACTAAGGTACTACATTGCAAAGCAATGTTCAGCTTTTGTGTCTCACTGCACCTTGCAACTGATGTGCTGTTTAATAATTTAGACATTTCATATTATTTCACAAATCTTGCTGTCAATAAAGAATTCTGCTTTCGAACATCAATAAAAATCGGAGGCCAAAAAAAAAATAGAAGAATTGATTGAATGAGGAAAGGCCATTTGGTCTATTGAGCCTGATTTTTCCAGTAGGCCATTTATAATTAATAACAGTCATGAACCCTCTTCGAGTTATGCAATCTCCTTAGAGAAATACATTATTGCAGATAAATTTAGCGAACAAGATGTAAAGAATCCAACACAAATGGCATTTGAATACAATCTCTCTGGCGACAGTCTTAACATTAATATGTACATTATTCAACATTTGACTAGTTGAGTTTTTGGAAATGGCATTCTTTGGGCCCCAACAAACTGCGACAATCTTCCAGTACTTTTCCGTTACCTTCTGCAATTGGCTTTTATATTCTGTGGGCGAAACATGGCAGCAGTGACCCATCAACAGTCGTGGATTGAGTGACCAAATTATTATTATTAATTTTTTTAAAGGGATTGTTACCCCTGGAAAGCGATTCGCCAATTGACTAACAAGCCGGGTTGCAACTTACTGCTGGGTAAACGCTGGCGGGGGAGTAAGGAAACATGCTTACGGTTTCACCCCTAGCCCAGGAATTATTGCACTGAGGAGTTTCTTAACAGAATCTCAAACCTCCTTCCTGGTCACCTTGTATTAGTTACGCTCTGTGCAAAATATTTCCTTGCACGTGTCCTAAAATTGACCTTCACAACTTGCACCTGTGCCCTCCTGTACTGCTGCCTTGGCAGATCTGAAACTCCTGTCTCAATCTCATTTCATTTACGATATAAAATCCCATTACGCCGACAGTATGGGGATACAGGTGGGTGTGTATGGGTAGCTGGAGCTTTAGCACTGTTAATTCAATGTGTCTTACATTCTTGCATTCAACAGTGGTGGAAGATTTGATTACTGACGATACCACCAATAATGCCAAATTACCTCACCATTAATGCACATAGACAGTTAACCACACAGTCTCTGCTCTTGTCCAGCTACCGATAGTGCTTTGACTTGCATCAACACCACCAACAACAAATTGCATTTAAATAGCGCCTTTCGGAGCCGGGGAGTTGACCATGAACACGGTCGTAGAGAAAGGTCTTCAATCGTGACCTAAAAGAGGGATTGAGGGAGAGAGTTCCAGAGCCCAGGATCTATGGAAGGCTTTGAAGGCAAATACACCTCAATGCAATGCAAAACAGCTCAGAGCAGCTAATTCATTCCTGGCTTGGCACACAAAATTTAAAATAAGGGAAGTTATCCCTGGCAGCTTCCTCGATGGCTCAGGTGTTGAAAGCACAACACAGCACAGAATGGATTGGTATTGTACAGACTTACATTGTCCCAGGGCCAGTTCCAGGTTTAATTGTACATTTGCTGATCACAGCTCGGACAGCAGGTGGGGTTAGGGAGTGAAAAATCAGTTGGTTTCTCATTGCGAAGGGGGAGGGAGGGTGTAGGAAAGAAAGAAAATAGTATGTCCAATATTTCTCTTGATCTTACCCTTAAGATCATGGTGCCAAAACATAAGATTCTTAAAAATTGCTACGTAAAACAGATTGAATTTAAGAATATGCCAAAAGATTGCTGTTTATTGCTAAGTTATTCAACAACAACAATAATAATTCTTACATTCAACGTATTGCCTTTCATGTCACCTCACAGCACTTCACAGGACTTCACTGTAAAGTGGAGTGACTATATTTCATGGGCAAGTTTAGTTAAATATCGGTACAGCAGTCGTAAGAGTAACGTGCTGCGTTTCGCCCACAAAATACAGTCAATTCACTTTACAGTATATTCTGTGAAGCGCTTTGAGACGTCTCGAAGATATGGTAAGGTGCTGTATCAATTACAAGGATTATTATTATTACTATTAAGGTGATGACAAATGAGAAATGTTCTGGCATCTGTGTTTTTTGGGGTCGGTCGAGTGTCTGACAATGCAGAAACCCATCACTGTGTTTAAAAGTATCCAAACAAAACAGAATTCCATGCATCCCATGGAGGGACATCCTGCTTACCTAATTCTGGAAAGTATTCGGTACAGGTTGGCAGAAGCCAAGGTTTAGGGAACCCAGAGTGTGCGTTGGGGTAACTGCTGGAATCTAACCAGCTAAAACCACATAGCTTTCTTTCCCACTGATTGTCCAGCTAGGACCACCCTACCCGTTAGGGCTTTGACTTGCAGGGTTAACAGGAACTGAGTGGCAAGAGTCCCTGCTTCCAGTGGCTGGTCTGTCCTTCCAAGTCCTGCCAATGAGCCAGGCCGGTCTGTGCTGTCATCGGCAGTGCCCCAAACACTGCGGACCCACCTGGCTCAGGAACTGAAAGACCGAGAGAGACCACCACAGAGGGTGGACTCGATTCTGACATTCTGTTGCCAAACATGTCACATTGGAAGCAGTTCAGCTCCAAGGAGACACCGCTTACCGTCCCCCCCTACCCCAAAGGAACGGAGTCATTAGTTGGTCAATTGACCTCTGAGAAGAGCAGGTTTGGGCCCTCACTGGCTGGATGGCAGGGAGCAGGCGGTGTCTGGTTTATTTGAACAAGGGGTAAATACAATCTTATGGCACCCAATTCCTATTATCCATCCTCTGTTACTTTGCAATGGAGCAAAATGGATTTGAACAGAGAAACCTGGGGAGATTTCATCTCATTGGTTTATTTTAAGTGACTTCCTCTATATTTCATATACACGCATAAGAATTTTGGTGAAGAGAGAGGGAGTGAGAGAGGGTGGGGGAGGATATTGTCCCAGAGTAACGCTGATCACACCACATTATTTTAAGTTAGAAATCCTTTGCTTTCTGGAGCAAAATATTAGTTTCATTCAAACTGATGAAATCCCTTCAATTCAGTTGTTATATTGCCTACAATACAGTCACAACACTGAACGGTATCTCCTGTGAAGCTCTTTAAGACGTCGGCGATGTGATTAATGCAAGGATTACATTAATAATGTGAAAAATGTTTTTTTGAATATAATCTATCGCTCTGTGAAATAATAATCCATGCGTTTGACACAGGCCCTTGTCACGTCGTAGAGACAACCTAAAGTGCTTTGCGGGAGTTATATTGTTATCAACAACAATAAAACAACAAGAGCAACAACAATAAATTGCATTTATATAGCGCCTTTCCTGTGGAGGGCACATCTCAAGTGCAAGCAATGTGTAATGACTGTGCTTTGGGCTGGTGTGATTCACAATCAGGTAAATTATAAACTAATCATTAAATAAGCAATGCTGTGTGTGGGCATGTATGTGAATGTGTGTGTGCGTGCGTCTATGTGTGCATGTGTATGCGTGCGCATGCGTATGTGTGTTCGTGTGTATGTGTGTCAGTGTGTATGTGTGCATGTGCGTGTGTGAGTACGTGTGTATGTATGATTTGTGTAGTTTCATAAGTTTCGGATCAGAGGTTCAACCGAGGTCCCGTCTGCCTGTCCAACGTAAAATATATTTATTTAACATATTTAATATTCTCAAGCAGAAAATACTGCTCATTACATAAACCTAATACCCCCTCCTTCCTTTGCCCGCTTCTCTCTCAATCAATCAATCAATCAATCAATCAATCAATCAATCAATCAATCAATCAATCAATCAATCAGAAGAAGAAGAAGAAGAAGAAGAAGAAGAAGAAGAAGAAGAAGAAGAAGAAGAAGAAAAGAAGAATGTGGACACTGTAACCAAGGGAGCAGATGGAATAATTACCTCATAGTGTACAGCAGAGTGCCATCTTCCACGAGACGGAGCAGTTTGTTAGGAGTTGTTATGTTGTGAGCTATGGACTTCTTGCCGTTGTGAAAGAAAGTATCCGGAGTCCAGATCTTACCGGCCAGCATGTTGTTCAAAGGGAGTCGCTTCATTGGCCCTTTAAACTTCAGTCGCTCATCTTTCCAACTCTGTCTGAAGAACACGTCGATGGTGTATTGCTGTTGGAAAGTGCAGCAGGCAAGCAATGAGCCAATAATAATAATAATAATAATAATCCTTGCATTTGATATAGCTCCTTATCACGTCGTTGAGACGTCTCAAAGCGCTTCACAGAATAGATTGTAAAGTGAATTGACTGTGTAGTTTGCGGGCGAAACACGGCAGCCAATTGCGCACAGCAGCGTCCCACACACAGTCGTGGATTGAATGTCCAAATTATTATTATTTATCCCCAGCAAAGTGATCTGCCAATCGACTAACAACCGGGTTCCTACTTACTGTTAGGTAAACAGACGTGTGGAGTAAGGAAACTTGCCTAAGGTTTCGTCCTTCCTGGGAATCGAACCCGGGTCCTCTCGCCTGCGAGGCGAGTGCTCTAACCATTATGCTATGGGAGGCCAGTGATGTGATAAGGCACTATATCAAATGCAAGGGCTGTTATTATTATTATTTGTTGTTGTTGGAGGTCAGGGGGAGAGGGGTTAAAGGAAAAAAGATATGTTTTGTGTGCGTGGGGTGGGGGGGGTGGGGGGGGGAGACTTACCATATCAGTGTCTGACACAGGTCCAAAGCTTGTAACATAGATGTCAGTTTTAACTTCGGTTATTTTTTCTGCAGCAAAAAAAATTAAAAAGAGAAAAATAAAATCGTGGCCTCAATCAAGTCGACCGCAGCCCCCACCCCCCAACCCTCCGCACAGCCCCATTTGCTGCTTGCGTGCACCTCGATTAATCTCTTTGCAATTCCCCACCGCCAACAAAAACAACAACAAATGGTATTTACATAGCGCCTTTCACGTCAGGAGGAGGATGTCCCAAGCACTGGACAGTCAGGGATTTCGACCCGAGCTGGGGGTTAGGATCAGCGGGGGTGGGAGGTCAGGGAGGGTGGGGGGTGGTAGGAGGGTGACCAAAGGGTTAGGGTCTCTGTGGGTGTTTTCCCTACCGTCCCCCGGGGTTTAATAAGCACTCCAGATCTGGGCCGTGCTTTCTCTCTGATCAAACTAAACACACTCACCTCCTAGGCCAGGACGGAGCCTGTTATCGTATCCATCCAGCAACCCATCCAAGATTCGAGTGAAGACGGTAATATCGTCATTGGAATGTGCTTTAATGGACGGGGAAAGACTTTGAGAAAAGCTGGGAAACGGAGCAAACCATCACAGGTCAATGTCAGACTATTTTTTGTCCAATTCATGCAACAATATTCCAATTTACCAGTGGCTAACACAACTATTTTGTTTTATTAACTCATTGAATCAACCGAGGCACAGACTTTATATAGCGTTGCCCAGCAGTTTGTGCAGGCGGGAAATAAAAATTGGACCCCCTCAAGTTGTTGATGGGCGATAAACGATACAGTTTATTCCACCAACCACCCGCCCCACCCCACCGTCCCCCAACCTCACTTCCCTTCCCTCCTGATGTGTTCATCAGTCCAGTCTGCCTCGTTGGCTTTTGTGTGACAGATTTGCCTTTCAGCACACAGTGGATTCAAAACTCAAATTTAACTCCAGCGATTGATTGAAAGACTCCAGTCTTTCTGTCTCCCTCCCTCCCACTCTCTTCCCACCCCCCCACCCACCCACACACACACACGCACTAGGCACTAGTCTCTTGGCTGCACAGAAGAGCTATATAATGAATATTGCAATGCTACAGATCTGCCCTAATTCACTGGGGAAACAATATCGCTCCATCACTAATTCCGGCACTCAAAAAGAGCATAGCTAATGTACACTGGGCATCAGACCCAGAGGCATTGCTCGGGGAAAAAACTCAGTGGTGTTTTTAGGAATACACTGCTAAATATGATCAGAGTGGAGTACGGTACATTTCTTTTTTTATTTATTTGTCGCCCACAAAATGCACAGTCAATTCACTTTGCAGACTATTCTGTGAAGCGCTTTGAGACGTCTCAATGATGCGATAAGAAAAGTATCAAATGCAAAGATTATTATTTATTAGTGTCAGTTATTTGCTTTACAAAAAAAAAGGGTCAGATGGCAGTGAGCACCAGTTATTGGATAACCAGTGCACATTGTGTTAAAGCCAGCACTCCGCTCTCTATCTCTCTCTCTCTCTCTCTTTTCTCTCTATCTCTCCCTGGCTAGCCAGGCTAGAGAGAGAGACACACAGCGGTGTAAAACCAATGGATAAATTAATTGGTAAGGAGATCGACTCGATTATAATTGAAAGAATCTAATGACACCTGAGCTCAACATAGTGTGGAGAGAGGGAGAGAGATAGATAGGGAGAGAGAAGGAGTGCAATGATCTGGGCAGAGAAAATTATTTCCTGCTTTTCATTGTCCAATCTTACTGAGCAGCGGATACGAGAATGAACGAAATGGATTGAATGAATGAAACAGATGTCAAACAAAATGTGCATCTCTTTTTGCCTCGCTCGGTGATCATCTCCCACATTCGCCTCTTGCGATTCGGACCCATTAAACAGCGACTTACACACGCCAACCCTCCTTTCCTCTCCCACTTCCCACACAAAAACACACACACACAAGTACACAGAGAAACACACGCACACACAAACACACACACACACACGCGCGCACATTTCATCCACAAAATACACGGTTAATTTGCTTTACAGTCTATTCTGCGCAGCTCTGCTTTGAGACGTCTTGACGACGTGATAAGGCGCCGTATCAAATGCGAGGCTTATCATTGATATTCTTTGTATTATTAATAAAGGCAACTATTATCAAAGGGACTCACCTGGATCGCCAGGTCAGATGTGAAATAATCAGGAAGGACACGACTTTCCCCAACGTGTTAAAGGCGAACAAGTTCTGACAATCCATGTCCTGCACTCACACACAAACACACACACACGCGCGCACACGCAGAACACCTGGAAACAAATCCAATTCCCTCACCTTTAAGCACAAATTAAATTAAATTAAATTAAAAGCAGGCTGATCAGTGTCGGCCGGGTTTAATAAATCTAAAGAGATGAACAACAAAGAAATACGTTAACCCAGTGGATTATTGGACATCACTGCCCTGACTGGACAGAATAGAACAGCTCCATTACTTTAGTTTCTCCAACCAAGGAGAAGAGAGAGAGAGAGAGAGAGAGGGTGGTGGGAGGGCAATTTAAACTCTTCATGCAACGCCTAATATAAAAATCCCGAGGGTGAAATTACAAGGGGGGGAAGGAGGAAGGAAAGAGAGAATGTAGCTCACATTAGGAAACGCTTTTCTGATTGCTTCCAGTTTTAAGTAGGTTTAGAACGATACAGAGACGATCGACCACAGCACTTTGAGAGAGAGACACACACACACACACACACACACAGAGCAGGAATATACAGTCAGTCAGTGAGTGAGGAATTGGACTCAAGTGATGTGGGTTTTCTCTTTCTCTCTCCGTCTCTCTCCAAACGCTACTCGACACTTGCACACGATTGGATTTTATGGCAAATCCTTCCCCTTTTCAACACGTAAAGAACACTAATCTACATTGTTTAAAGCCTAATGATTTTCTTATTATAACACGCGCGCACACACACACGCTCGCTAACAAAAGACAAGACTGTGCTATATTTTGCAATGTCATGAGATCTGGTGTGTTACAGCTGCTTTTGTTTTGTGGAGCATTGGTGTAAAATTTAGGTGGTTCATATCTGATATCTTTTATATTATAAAAATGCATTGCTTTGAATCCGTGTCTTTGCATTGTTTTATTACCTTCGTTCCATATCATTTAGGATGATTTCAGAGAGGGCAATATCTTCTTTCTAATACCAATATAATTTCTAATTATAGCATTATTATCCCCTCTGACCATTCACTGAGTGCTTATATCTGTGTGTGTGTGTGGCTGTGTGTGTGAGAGTTATTATTGTGTGTGTGTGCGAGTTATTACTGTGTGTGTTATTATTGTGTGTGAGTTATTATTGTGTGTATGTTTTATTTGTGTGTGTTATTGTGTTTTGTGAGTTGTTATTGTGTGTGTTTGTGTGTGAGTTACTGTGTGTGTGTGTATGAGTTATTATTGCGTGTTATTATTGTGTTATTATTATGTGTGTGTTATTATTGTGTGTTATTATTGTGTGTGTATTATTGTGTGTGAGCCATTATTTTGTGTGTGTATTTGTGTGTGAGTTATTATTGTTTGTGCGAGTGATTTATTATTATTAGGTAATGTGTGAGGCTACAAAATACAGTGCCCACAAAATACTAACTTAGCTCCAGGATACAGTTAATGCAAAACCCTGCATTAAATCAACGGTGAGAATTAGCATCATCAGCATTAGTACTGCATTGTTACTGCTTTAAAGGGAAGCAACTAAATTCCCCTTCTCGGTGTGTCTGTGTCTCTATGTCAGAGTGAAATTACACAGTGTCCTCTCTGGGTCAGAGACACACACACACACACACACACACAGTGTCCTCTCTGGGTCAGGGACACACACACACACACACACACACAGTGTCCTCTCTGGGTCAGGGACACACACACACACACACACACAGTGTCCTCTCTGGGTCAGGGACACACACACACACACAGTGTCCTCTCTGGGTCAGGGACACACACACATACACACACACAGTGTCCTCTCTGGGTCAGGGACACACACACACACACAGTGTCCTCTCTGGGTCAGGGACACACACACACACACACACACACACAGTGTCCTCTCTGGGTCAGGGACACACACACACACAGAGTGTCCTCTCTGGGTCAGGGACACACACACACACACAGTGTCCTCTCTGGGTCAGGGACACACACACACACACACACACACACACACAGTGTCCTCTCTGGGTCAGGGACACACACACACACACACAGTATCCTCTCTGGGTCAGGGACACACACACACACAGTGTCCCTCTGGTCAGGGTCTCACCCTGTCCCCTGTCTCTGACCACCTTACCCTCTCAGCTGTTCCCCTCTGTAGAGGACTGTGTCCTTCTCCCCTCCAGTATCCAGAGCCCCATCACTGGGAGCGGCTGTGGTGCTGATGCTGTGGATGTCGCCCTGTGGCTCACTTCCCTTTCTTTATTGTGGAACCCCAGGGGGGTGGGGGGGGGTGTGTATGTGGTTGTGTGTGTGTGTATGTGGTTGTGTGTGTGTGTGTGTGTGTGTGTGGAGGGGGGGGGGATATGCATGTTGGGTGGTGTATGTGTGTGTGTCAGGTGTGTATGGGTGTGGTGTGTGTGTGTGTGTGTTTATATGTGTGTGTGTGTTTATGTGTGTGAGTGTATGTATGTGGGGTGTGTGTATGTGTGTGGGGTGGGGTGTGTGTATGTGTCTGGGGTGTGTGTGTATGTGGTGGTGTATGTGTGTAGGGTGTGTATTGTGGTGTGTGTGTACATGTGTTGTGTGTATGTGTGTGAGTGTGTGTGGGGTGGGGTGTGTGTATGTGCATGTGAGTTTATGCGTGTGGGGTGGGTGTGATGGTGTGTGTGTATGTGTGTGCGGTGGGTGTGTATGTGTGTATGTGGGGTGGGATGTGTGTATTTGGTGGTGTGTGTGCATGTGTGTGTATCTGTCTGTGTGCGTATGTATGTGGGGGTGTGTGTATGTGTGTGGTATGTGTATGTATGCGTGTGTGTGCATGTGGGTGGGTGGGTGGGGGGAGAATACACAGACTCTATATACCTCCAAAAGCTCCCACTCTGTTTCCAGTGGGAATGCAGGTCTCTCCTGGGGTAACTTTGGCTCTTCTCTATCCCTCTATAGAGATGAATAAGGGGCTGGAAAATCGAGCAGAGAGTCACTTGCGAGGAATGAAAGACAGATGGTGAAGAATAGAGTAACTCCCTCAGTTGGTAGTTTCTGGGTCAGAAGGTTGGGTTGGTGGTTGGGTGGTTGCAGGTACAAGTCTCAAATGGACCACTTGGTTTGACACTCTGCTGGGCTGCTGAGTTGTCCCCTCCTATCTCTCCCCCCTTTTATATAAACTAAATATAATCACAATAGTAATCCTTGCATTGTTTCCTTAATTCCACATGCAATTCTTTACCTAGGAGGAACCCGGGCGGCAGAGTTTTGGATGATTTGGATTTTATGGATGGTGGTGGATGGGAGACCGGTGAGGAGGGTGTTAGAGTAGTCCAGCCGAGAGGTGACAAAGACATGGACCAGGGTTTCAGCGGCTTACGGAGAGAGGTATTGGCGGAGGTGGGCGATGCGTTGGAGGTGGAAGAAAGCGGTGCTGGTGAGGGACCGGATGTGGGGGAGGAAGGATAATTGGGGGTTGAACCTGACCCCTAGGTTGGGTACCGGTTCGGAGAGTTTTAGGGGGAGGTCGGGTAGGTGGAGGAGGTGAGAGCCGTGGGATTTGAGACGTTGACGAGAGCCAAAGAGTATGGCTTCCGTCTTGTCATAGTTCAGTTGAAGGAAATTTGCGCTCATCCAGGCCCTGAGATCTGACAGGCAGCTGACAGAACATCAGGGGACTGGGGGTCGCAAAGAGAGGTGGAAAAATAGAGTTGGGTGTCATCCGCATACATGTGGAAGTGTACCCCATGTCTGCGGATGACATCCCCAAGAGGGAGCATGTAGATCAGAAAGAGGAGGGGCCAAGGATGGATCCTTGGGGTACCCGCAGGTAACCGGGTGAGAGTGGGAGGAGAAGCCGTTTGTGCAGATGTACTGCTGGCGGTTTGTGAGGTAGGACTCGAACCAGGCGAGTGCGGTCCCACTGAGGTGGATGACGGAGGAAAGGCGGTGGAGGAGGATGGCGTGATCGACTGTGTCGAACGCGGTGGAGAGGTCCAGGAGGACAAGGAGGCAGAGGGAGCCCTGGTCACAGATAGAGAGGATGTTGTTTGTGACTTTCACAAGCGCAGTCTCTGTACTGTGGGCGGAAACCGGACTGGAGGGGTTCAAAGAGGGAGTGGGAGGTGAGGTGTGCGCAAAGTTGATTGGCAAACGCTTTCTAAGACTTTAGCGAGGAAGGGCAGGTTAGAAATGGGGCGGTAATGGCTGGGGTTTGAGGGATCCAGGGAAGGATTTTTGAGGAGGGGGTGATGACAGCAGTTTTGAGGGAGGCAGGGACTGATCCGGAGGAGAGAGACTGGTTGATAATGTCAGCCAGTAGTGGGCAGAGGAGCGGGAGCTGGGTGACCAGTAAGTTGGTGGGGTGGGGATCGAGGCCGTAGATGGTGGGTTTCATGGAGGTGATGGTGGGTGAGAGGGAGGAGGGAGAGATGGGGAGGAAGGAATGTAGGATGGGAGTGGTGGTAGAAGCAGATGATGGTGATGGGGACAGAGAGGGCGTGGTTGTGGGTGACAAGAGGCACTTGGATGAGGCTGCCTGGTGGATTTTTTGAATTTTAGATGAGAAGAAGTCCACGACCTCCTCGCACTTGGCATTGGCTATGAAGATTGTGGCGGTCGTAGGGGGGGCACGGAGGAGGTAGTGGGTGGTGGAAAAAAGGACTTTCGGGTTGTGTTTACGCTCCAAGATGATGTTGGAGTAGAAGGCCGTTTTTGCACATGTCAAAGAATGGCGGTAACTGTGGAGATGCTCGAGCCATAGTTGGCGGTGGACTGTCCGGCCAGTTTTCCACCATTTGCTCTCGAGCAGCCGGGTTTGGGTTTTTAGGGAGCGGAGATGGTTGTTGTACCAGGGTGATCGGGTGGGATTGGAGATGGTCCTGGATTTCAGGGGGATGAGGGAGTTGAAGGTGGAGGAAAGGCGATCATGGAGCAGCTGGACGGCTGCTTCAGGATCTTCGCGGATGGAGGGCCAGAGGGATAGGATGTTTGATGAAATGAGGGTAGCCTTTTCCAAGGGCGGTAGAAGATGATTTAGGGCTTGGTGGGGGAGAGGGATGTGAGAGGAGAAAGAGATGAGGAAGTGGTCCGAGATGGCCTTGTTCACAATGCTGAGGTCGGAAATGTCAAGGCCATGGGTGATGACAAGGTCAAGAGCATGACCACGGTTGTGGGTAGGTGAGTTTATGTGAAGGGTGAGGTTAAGGGAGGAGAGGAGGGCTGTGAAGTCAGCAGAAGTAGTGTAGGGGGAGTTTAGGTGGAGGTTAAAAAATAATAAATTGGTCACTTCAATCCATGACTGTTTGTGGGACACTGCTGTGCGAAATTGGCTGACTCAGTTCGCCCACAAAGATACAGTCAGTTCACTTTACAGTATATTCTGTGAAGCGCTTTGAGACATCTCAAAGACTTAATAAGGCGCTATATCAAATGCAAGGATTATTATTATTGTTATTAGTAATTTCCATATCCAGGTGGACCTTAACCAGAAGGGAACAACTCCAGACGTACAGGCCAACAATTATAACGATTAATTGGCCTTACCTGCTGACTAATTGGGACCTCCTCGGCGCATTTGGATGTTGTGTTTGCTTGCCAAACAGTTTTGAGATGTTTAGACGTGGTTAGGGACTATAAACTACACCTTAAGATGTTTTGATGTGAAAGTTCCTAAAATAAATGCAATTTATTTCTCTGCTACACGTAAGGATGAACGGAACGGGTAGGGAACAAACTATGAATCTTTTTCAGTTAGGGGTGTATCTTTCTGATTATCTGAGCAAAAAAGGGAAATACTTAGGCGACAGATGTGAAGTCTTCATTTTGAACCAGATTAGTTTCCTGTTTCAGATATATATTGATTTCCTTGAAAAGGTCGAAGTGCTCCAAGATGCCGTCCAGTGTGAAGGACGCTCTATAAATGCACGTTGTTGTTGACATTCCCAAGGCGCTGGATAGTTTAGGTTTGCGCCCGAGCTGGGGGCGAGGGAGAGGGGCGTGGGGGTGGCTGGGTGGGGGGGGGGACGGACGATGGCCGAAAACGTGACCGAAAAATACGCTGAAAAAAGCGCAATGGTCAATTGTGGGGTGGGGGAATGTGAAGCAGGCTGGTGCCCACTGAGCAGAGAGAGAGGGACTGGGTTTGAGAAGGTCGCAAAGGTGGGTCAGGATCATGAAGGGATTTAAAGGTTAGAACAAGAATTTTGACCTCAATCCACGAGGAGATGGGGAACCAGTGGAGCCGTGTTAAGATAGACTCGGGGAAGCCTAGTGCAGGAAAGGACATGAGCTGCAGAGTTCTGGATAATCAGCAGCTTATAAAGGGAAGAGGTGGGTGGTTTGGCGAGCAGAGAGTTGGCGCAATCTCGCCTGTAGGTAAGGATTGTATCGATGAGTGCAATTGGCTAAAATACACAGTCACTACACTTTATAGTACATCCTGTGAAGCGCTTTGAGACGTCTCGAAGACGTGATAAAGCGCTCTTATCAAATGCAAGGATTGTTATTATTATACTTTTATAATTGCACGGATTAGGCAGCCCCGAGGGGAGAGGTAACCGTGGACGTGGACATGATAACCATCCCTACATTTGGTGGAGTGCCTTTCACATTGGGAAGACATCTCAAAACGCTTCACAGGATATAATGTAAAGTGTAGTGACTGTGTGTTTTGTGGGAGAACCTTTTTTGTGAAAGAATGTCTTCTGATCTCACTCTTAATTGATTTAGCTATGATTACAAGACAAGGTCTCTTTTTTTGGATCCTTCGATCAGAATAAAGTGTCAGGAACTAGTTTGTCAATTCGCTAATTATAGGACCTTCAATCAGATTGCTCCTCCCTTCCCCCAACCCTCAACCTCCTCAGATTTAAAATTTATACAAAATTTATACAAATTATTAATCTGGTTGATTGTCAATTAATCCTTGTATATCCTTCTTTAGGCAGGGACACCAGAACAGAACACAATGAGGTCTGACAACTTGAATCTTTAATTCTATTTTTAATTCAATTATGTTTTTAATCCTGAAACTAAAACAATCCCCTGGCTCGGCATCGCGCTATACCCCTGTCAAGCGCTCTGGGACGCTACCCTGCCTGAAGGGGCGCTATATAAATGCAAGTTGTTGTAGTTGTTGGCAAGTGCAACTGTAGGAAAAACTTCCTAGTTTTTATATCCCCGACCGCCTTGCTGTAAATCACAACGTCCCA